AGGGTGCAACTCCCTGTAACCGTAAACTATGTAACCGTAACAGTTGTGCAGCAGTAGCAGCTATGCGGAGAGAAATAGACTGCTGTACAGCAGGAGTAGTTTCTGAGCAGGTGTGCATGCCGTCTCCGACAGCAACCGTCCGCACAGAGGATGTACCTGTCCAAGCAATACCTGTTGGCACATCTTCTCCACCTCATCTTTGGACAGAGCATACACTGACGGGAAACCGCCTCACAGAAGCGCCAGATCGACGAAAAAAACGGCCCGCGCATCAGAGAATCGAGACCATCATCCACTATCGCACAAAATGCATAAAAATCGTGATAAATTATACTAATCTGTACTACAAGTAGAGAGCTGTGATCGGAGCTGTGATCAGAGCTGTAGTCCCGAAAACCCTTGCCTTTGAGCGAAATTTTGCACACAGCAGACGAACCACCCTCCACTCCCAATACTGGGAACCACACGCACCGCAATCACAACAACATCAAGCACCGAGGCAGTACGTTAGCATCTGCTCCGGTGTACGCTTGCTCTGCTCTCCCCCGCGGATGCGGCACCGGGTCGATCACATGTTCAGGGTGCTGTATGCACCCTCCGGTGGTATTTTGCGTTTAAATCTTGCAGTACCGGTAGCCAGTAGATTGGATCTGGAAAGGATATCTGCCCCACGTCAGAGAGGTTAGGTATGAGTGAATAGTATTGCACTATGTGAGTCCTGTGCGTATTGCTGATAAGCGTGCTTTTGGGGTGGGCTGCCTGTGTCTCCCTGCTGGTCTCTATGTATGTTTTTTGCTTTTGGCCGAGGCACAACGACGATCTTTCGGCACGCAAAGTGAATGGAGCTGAGAACGGAGCTGAATCGGCCTGTAGTCACGTACGGGTTAACCCTTTTGAGTCTTGAGGCGTTCTCACTGATCATTGATTGATCATTTGCAAATGCTGGTGTAGTGGGAAGTCGTGAAGTTGCCGCCCTGCAGCCCTTCGCGCCGCGTATTGGCAAGTCCATAGCTAGGTGTGTCTAGATTATTAGCACCCGCGCTAACCGGCTGACCAATGAAGAGACTTCAGTGACAGCGGGTAATGTCAAGGTCTCGGGAATGGGAATGGGGCCAATCAATGCCAAATCATGAATCTCTCAACGTATGCACATGTCAATGAACGCGTGTGTGCATACAGTACATACATACATACATATGTGTTCTTTCGCAGCACCACACATACACTCGCCCGAACGTAGGAAGCCACTGCTGCAAAGAGCAGAGGACAGCAAAAGGGAGGGGTATTGCAGTCCCTGCCGAAGCCCAGATATCGAGGATATATATCGTGGTTCCCAACAATTTGAAAATCGTTCCGAAGATCCAGCAGTCATTGTGTCAACAGCTACAACGAACGCTACAGCAACACTACTACTGCTGTAGACGAGTAAAACATATCAGCAACACATCCACACTCGTAGCGCCACACATACCACCCTCGCCCGAACCTAGGAAACCACGAGGTACAGGTGTGTGCTGGTGGATGTGCTTGTTGTTTGAAAAACACAGGAGCTCTAGAGAGTTGGCAGGGAACATTTCGGGGGGGGACAGAGAACAGAGAAGTACAGAAGTACAAATACCAGCTATGGGTTTTCACTGATCATTTTGCCTGATCATTTACAATATACCGAAAATAGACTAGTTGAGGCAGCTAGACGACTGATCATTTCAAAGGCTACACAGCTAACCTGCCCTACTGACCGCACCGCGACCACCCACCAACCCTTCTACGACCCTGTCTGTGGCCACCACCCTGTCGCCGGCTTCTCTCATGGCCTACAGGGGGAGATAGCTGTTGCGTGTGCAGAAGTACACTGGTGTCTTTCTCTGCACTTCTCTCTCTCCCGCTCGCTCTCGCTCTCATTTTTTTTTTTTGGCGCAAAAAATCAAATCTGACAGTCCAGCCTAGACCCAAAGGGGTTAAGACTACTGTACTAGGTATGACCCAACGAATCTATCTCTATCGAAGAATCCTCACACTACAGTACAAGTGCAGGGGGCTTCGGGGGCTTCCGCCGTCACGCTTAAGGAAGCGATTCCAAGATACATGGCTTTTTATCGCGTAAAAGATGCGGTTGGTGAGTTTTAAACGATGTTGACTGGCTGAAAGATACTGCGCCTTTCCGACATCTGTGCATACGAAAGAGAAGAGTAGAAAAGAGACTCACGAAGGCTGGGCAAGAGTGGGATGCGGGAGAGCGCTGAGGAGCTGAGGAGTGAGGAGGATGTGCAACCGAACGAATGCGGGCGTCGAGAAGCAGAGTCACCCTGGTTGTCATATTCATATCTTTCGCTGTTGTTGTTATTGTTGTTGTTGTTCTTTTCTTCACATTAAACAAGTGTTAGTTGCTATTCCCAAAATCTAGGGAAGACTCGGTCGGTGATCACAAAAATGCTAGAGCCATCAGAAGATACAGTATCAAGAACACTCACACTTTGCAAGGAAAGGGCCGGCGTCAAGAAGAAGTGCACCTACAATCCCTGCAGTACGTATACGTGCCAAAAAATAAATGAAGTACCTGTCCGCACACTACATTCGACGACAGCGCGCAGAGAAGAGAGAATCAAACACTAATCCCTCGTGTCGCGGCCTTGAATTTAATGTTACCATTGTTTGATCTCCGTGCTGCTCGTCCCTGTCCCTGCTTGTATCTATTGCTGTGCAGACCAGGTGGATCGACGTGGACGACTACAAGGACGGGAAGCGTCTTGTTTCATTCCTGGCGAAGCACATGTCCCACCCTCTGACGGGCAGCGAAGCGGCGGTGAAGGGCGCGCTGCTCGCCAAGAACAACATCAATTTAGTGGTAAGGCTCGAAAGCTCTCAACAGCTAGGCTCAGCTACACAGCCTCGACCCCACTGCTGTGCAAGGTTGGACATGAAAATCGTTGTGGCGTATTGTAGCCCCTGATGAGGACGTCGGGCTGAGCCGCTCTGGAGAGCTTACCGTAGGTGCTCGCCGAGAAGCAAAGGATTTGCAACGTCATCATCACGGAAGACGACAATGAAAGAGAGAGACACGCCGGCCAGCTCTCGATCCCCTTGGGAATGGGTTCCAGCCCCCAATGCGAAAATGCGCCACCACTCTTCTTTGGGTGTCGCCGAAGAAAACGTTTTGTGTGTTTTCCACTAACCCCCCCCCCTCGCCCCTCCCCCCATCCTGTCGCACGCATTTGTCGCCGTAATGCCCGCTGCCGCACGCTTTTCAGCAAAGTTTGTCGCGGCATTGACGACCAGGTCCTGCGAAATGTACAAGGCCCTTGTCATCTTCGACAGCCTCACGGCAACCCTCGACCGCGTAACCAAGAGGAACATCGAGACTGCCGACGAGGAGGAGTCCGAGGATGATAGTTTCAGGGAGAACGAGGTTCCCGCGCGTCGGCAATCATGCCTCATCGCCCTCGCCCAGCTCAAAGAGACGTAGCTCAAGAAATTGAAGGATGTGAGTGGCTGATTCGTCTTTTGGTTGGTGGTTGCCTCTCGGGGGCGACGCAACTTGTGTGCTGTTGGGCGTTGTTCATTTTGTTTTCTCCACAATGTCTTGGTGAGTGTGTGCCCTTGGGAAGGCGATGGCGGGTTCTTCGTCGTAGATTATTCCGTTTTGACTTGGGCCGTGTTGGTTTGTGCTCACGTGTGCGTGTTGCGGAAGTCTTTTTTTTCGCTCATTGAATTGCAGCCAGTGAATCGGAGAGAGCTATTGCAGCGTGCCTCAGAACACAATCTTGTTGCGTTAGGCGCCAAATGGAGCAAAAATGGTGGTCGATATATGCTTCAACAGGGACGCGCATGTTTCTCTTTTGTATATGATAAGCTCAAGCACATGCTCTCCAAAGAATATGTTTTTGGTCACGTGTCGTGGGCTACTTGGTTGTACCAGAAGTCATATTTGCGAGCATACTGGCGAAAGGCGTACTATTCGGCAATACTTACCCGCGGCGTGTTGCGTGATTCCTGAAGCTTACTACATGAAGCGGTTGTGGTCGTAGGCTACGACCCGCTGCTTTTGCGCTCTCCCTCTTTGTTTTCCTCATTCAAAAGCTCGCGGATACATGTCGTCGACCGGCTCGAACACAATTTTCATGGCGCGTGTTTTGATTTGTCGGCAACTGCTGCAAGGTTCAAGGTAGCTTTCTCGCAACCCGAAAATCGAACGGTTGCTTCTGTTGGACTGATGTTTTGACAAACACGCAGCATGCTTTGGCATCGGCCGGAGAGCTTGCGGGGCGAGCGTTCCAAACCGTTCGCGACCAGCACACAAATCGCCCCCTGAGGGAGATCTTCGCGCTTAGCTGGGACAAGGATTTCGACGCTCGGGTGAGACATTGTAACCTGTTTTTAGATTTTGCTCAAGCGAAGCGAGATTTCTAATCTGGTCTGAGGTCTCGCCGCAATATAGGGCCCCATCAAGACCAAACCGTTTTTACAGTCTCTTCGGTTGTAGAGTTCATGACTTGATTTTAGAATACAGGGGTCAGCAGATAGATGCACTTTTTTTCTCGGAACGCACAGAGGATTGCAGCAGAGAACATACGCACTGCGGGCGACACCACACAGCAGACAACACACGCACAGCGGGCAATAACATCTGGGCTCGATTGGGCTGGACTCTCTTTGGTGTGATGAGGGTGTGCATTGTGCTGTCTGTCGTGCATGATTTTTTGTTACCGCCGCGTTTATCAACTGCCAGCAATGTGAGCACAGCACCACGTTAGTTCTCGACACCTAGGACGCCGATCTCTATCGCACCACTTCGAGCGTGTGATCCATTGTGGTGTCTCTGGGCAAGATAGTTGTGTTGGGTATTGGGTGCTGTGTGTGGCGAGAGCATCGTGGCGATGTGAAATCCGGTTTGGCGTTTTCGCCTTGCGATGTGGCCCGATTGCCCGGGCTAAAAAAACGATTTGGATTCCACGCCGCCACGAAGGTCTTCCCACACACAGCACCCATGCCTAACACAGCTGTCACGGTCCTAGATTTCGCAATGGAGCACACGCTCGAAGTGGTACCAAGACGATTAGTGCGCTAGGTGACGAGAACTGACTTGTGTCCTGCTGTTTCGCTAGCAGTTGGACAACACCGAACAAAAAAGAGGAAACAGGAGGTTCAGCAATAGTGTGCGGGGGGTATGTATGACCACGAAAGGGAGATGTGGACGGGGGCGGGGGGGGTTAACCGGTAGGTGAAAGGTATCGTTACCACAGCTCTCACACCAGCTCACAGCAGGTAGGTGAAGTATCAAGTGTGTGGTGTATGCATTCTGTTTCCACCCGTGGAGGCACACGTCTGACGACAATTACATCTATCAGCTGTCGCTCGTTGTAGCGACAGCTAGTATGTCTTATGACACGCGGCTCAACGTGATCAGGGCGAATATGTAGCGTTCAGAAGGAAAGCGTTGTTTGTGTCGTGGATCGGAATTTGAAAAACATCGACCAGAGTGGGGGTGTGGTCAGCTGTGCTCCGTGCCCCCCCCCCCCCCC